TATGATATGCATATATTCGGTAACAGCCGTATGATATGCATATATTCAGTAACAGCCGTATGATATGCATATATTCAGTAACAGCCGTATGATATGCATATATTCAGGAACAGCCGTATGATATGCATATATTCAGTAACAGCCGTATGATATGCATATATTCAGTAACAGCCGTATGATATTCATAGCACTTTAACTTTATTAAATGAAAAGTGTTAAATGTTATTTATTAGCATTAGTCACCTGTGAGGCTGCCTCACTTATGGAGGCTTGTTCCAGGTTCCTATAGCTGCAGTGTGGGATCCTCTGCACTCTTGTCATGAAGGACACACTTTTTAAGTTCAAAGTTTTTGTCTATCCATTGTGCCGTAAGACTAATCATGCTAACGGGGCTAACATGGCGTCCACATGTCTGTGGTAAAACTCACCCAAGTGCTATCAGCTGTTAGCTTCTCAATGACCTCTTGTAACTCGGGTAAGGTTACGTCGGAAAATATCTCTGACTGGCGACGATGTAGCGAGGCGTCCAAAAATCTTCAGAACCTGACATCCTCAACGAAAAAAGAACTTCCACACCGCCGACATTTTGAATTTTCCTGTCCGCCGTGACCGGACCAGGCAGGTGCGCGTGACGTCAGCTGCAGACATCCTCGTCACTGGCTGCCACACAAAAACAGCAACTTTTATGTGGGTGAGTTATTTTGATGGAATGTTCGATGTTGAACTTGAACGCTGATATAGACCATGACGATGATACTGTGCATCGATAAACTGGTCCCGATTTCCTTCATTCTGTGAAATCAGCCGACACACAAGAAACTGACTTGACTGATTTTTAGTGGTTTGAACAACAATTGTCTGAACTTCATTTATATTTCAGAGCGCTGCCTCATGGCCAGTTAAAACCAGTTAAAACCAGTTTGTATTATTTCTAGAATATTGTTCAAGGATATGTTTTCAATAAAACAAGATTAGAAAAGTGAAGGTGCGTTGTGACCTTTAACACCTGACAGCTAATAAAACTACATCGGATTCGCAGGTGAGGCTTTTTAGAAACGGGCGATGGGCCAGAGAACTCCCCCGGTGCACGTCTGATCCCGATCCAAAACTTTTAAAGAATTGATTGTTTGTGTTTGTAGTTGTATTCCTCTCGTTTGGTTCTGCTCAGCTGACGGTGACTGCAGACGGAACCACAACCACTGAGAAGCATCAAGGATGAAAGTGTGCTTGAACCCAAACTCAACACCAGAACGTTGATTCTACTCACGGTCCAAACTCTATTTTATTATTTTATTTTCTCATTTCTATCAACACATTTACATGAAAACATTCCAATTACAATCTGTCTGAACAGAGACCGTACACATGGAAAAGGTGCAATTCCCTCAACACGCCACTAGTTGGTGCTATGTTCTTTGAAACTTGAAACTGTAAGTGCACGTATCCTGGTGCATGCTCAATAATCCGGGTTCAACTGTCCTCCATCATTAAACAGGGGTGGAGCCTCCAGGTTCAACTGTCCTCCATCATTAAACAGGGGTGGAGCCTCCAGGTTCAACTGTCCTCCATAATTAAACAGGGGTGGAGCCTCCAGGTTCAACTGTCCTCCATCATTAAACAGGGGTGGAGCCTCCTGGTTCAACTGTCCTCGTTCATTAAACAGGGGTGGAGCCTCCAGGTTCAACTGTCCTCCATCATTAAACAGGGGTGGAGCCTCCTGGTTCAACTGTCCTCCATCATTAAACAGGGGCGGAGCCTCCGGGTTCAACTGTCCATCATTAAACAGGGGTGGAGCCTCCAGGTTCAACTGTCCTCCATCATTAAACAGGGGCAGAGCCTCCGGGTTCAACTGTCCATCATTAAACAGGGGTGGAGCCTCCAGGTTCAATTGTCCCCCTCTTACAATGCTGTGATTGCTAGTATCACTCAGCCCTCTGTGAACAGTAAACAGCCATCAGGTGCTAATGATCCATTGTTAGGCTGATGGTCCTTCTTGAGCATGTGATCAGCTGGTTCTGGTTGTCAGCAGCAAACTGGTTGATCCACTCTGAGAAGGTGCTATTTAAGAGACTGAGCTGAATACAGCACCTCAGAATGAGGAAGTCCTCAGGATGAGACGAAACGTTTCTACATTTTTTGTTGTTGTTTAGTTTTTTGAACGTCCAGAGGACCAGACTGAACTTGTTTAGATCCAAGTGGTAAAAACAAAGTTCTACCTGAAAGCTGCTGGAACGGTGGAGATGGACGGGAGTAAAACGTTTCTCTGGACAGACGAGGCTCAGCAGCGTCGCCTCCGTCAGTGACGGGTGGAGCTGTACGATCCGGTCCATGACTGAAGTAGAGGCAGAGTGAGTCCTGCGTTGGAGCCGCAGGCCCATGAGCCAGGCATGTTTACACGACACCGGGATGTTTTTGAACCATTCTGGATCTGGAACCCGCTCTCAAATTGTGCTGTTGCCAGAGAAAACATTTTCCATGTTGGTGGAAGGAGAGCTTCCAGCAGAAACCGTCCTGTGAACTGGACCTTCATTACTTTCTGAGCCTCATTATTTATTCTGCGTTCAGGAAGAGAATCGAGAAGCTGCGCTGTTGACTGCACGGAAAACAAACAAACAAACAATTCTGTGTCCCACACCCAACTCGTCCTGGTTCAGACCAGACAGGTGAGAAGCCTGGGTCCGTTACCATGGTAACCCAACCTTCGCTCTTTTGTCCAGAACCCGATCAGGGATCGGATCAACAAACTGGTCTTTATCGATCCTGAATCCGTTACAGGAAGTCAGGATGATCCCTTAGCATATGTTAGCCTCCGTATGCTAACATCGTAAACTGGACTCACCGGACCGGGTCGAACCGGAAGTGTATCCGAACACCTTCTGCTGTGTTGTCTCGCTGTTCACGAGCGACTCGGCTGATCGATGATCGATAATAGCTCCGTGTGATCCTGGATCTGCTACCGGAGCGCCAACTAGTGCGAACTCAGCACAACTTCCGGTCTGGGGTCAGAGGTCACGCTTCGAACAACACGAACTTCATTCAGCAGAAGCAGAAACCCGCGCGCGCGTCACAAATTACAACCCGGTTTAAACTACAAGAAACAAACACTGATCACGTGACAGCGCGCCATGGTGCGTTCACGTGACACAAACAAATTCGTCTTTTTTCCAAATTCTTATATTTGAGTAAAAACTTTGAATTATATGATATTAGACATAAAAACGTGCGTTTGTAACTAATTCTATTGATTACACAATAACAACGGAAACAAACGCATGTTTATTATTTTCTAAATAACTGAACTAAACATAAATTAAAGATACATCAACTATATCCATCCATCCATGATACATCCATGATCTTTACCTACTTTATTTTATTTTATTTATTTTTGTCTGCACCTCCTCTGTGTTGTTTGTTTAAGGTCCTCCATGACACTGGATACATTTTTTTCATTCATTCAACCTTTATTTCTACAGGTTAGTCTCATTGAGCCTCAGGGGCTGTTTTAACAAAGAGTGATGACAACAGTGGACAATCATCAAAGAAAGCTTACACACTGAGAAGAATGAATGAAAGAAAATGCTATTTAAAAACTTTAAAAAAATCTAGATTAAAACTAAAAACAGGAACATGTCTGCATTGGTCCCTGCCAGGAGTCCAACAGATTCTTAAAGACACTTAGAGAGGTCAAAGGTCGAGAGCTTCAAATCTTTTTACAAGATATTCCAGGAAACAGGAGCGGAGTAGGAGAAGGTCCTTTTGTCTAGTTCAGTCCTCACTGAGGGAACACTGCAGGTAATGATGTCCTGAGAGCGCACGCTGTAGCTGCACTCACACAAAGACATGTAGGAGGAGATGTATGAAGGCAGCAGACCAGGAAGTGATTTAAAGATGAAGATGTACCAGTGAGAGAGTCTGTGTGAAGTTAATGGTGACCAGTTAACCAGTGGATACTGGGTGCAGTGGTGGGTACGGTAGTTACAGCCAGTTATGAATCTTAGTGCACCATGATAGTCAGCATCCAACATCTGCAGCATCCAACATCTGCAGCATCCAACATCTGCAGGGTTCTTGTAGGAGCGTTCATGTAAATAATGTCACCGTAATCAATGGAGGGAAGGAAAGTCACAGATACAAGGTGTTCCTCAGGGTTCAGAGTTAGACAGGATCTGTTTCTGAAAAAGAAACCCAGTTTAACTTCCAGTTTCTTCACCAAGTTTTCCACATGGAGCTTAAAAGAAAGATGTGAGTCGAAATAAAGGTTGAAAAAAAAAAATTCCAGCAGACACAGTGAGATGCAGCACCCTGGACATGTCTCCATCACAGAGACACCTAGGGATAATTTAGAGTTACCAGTCAGCCCAACAAGCATGTTGTTGGTCTCTGGGACGAAACCAGAGAAAACCCACGCATGAAGTGGAGTTGTGTGATGCTGCAAAATTTGGTATCTATTGATACCAAATAAATCCAGGTCCAGTCTCGACAATACCGACACCGATACTTTACAATAATTATGGTGAATTTTGATGACGTTTAAGTGTTTTGTGATTTTTTTCTATGAATCATTTATTAGTTAAAAACCAGGATAGAATTAGGCAAAGTTTATAAATAAATAAAAAATACTTTATTATAATAAAAGTTTTTCTGAAAAAAAAACAACAGAAACAAAACAATTTTTGTCATGGCTGGATTTTCCTTAAACAAAGTGCATAAAATGAAGAATAAATGAAAACAGTGTGTTCAGAAACTATGATCATTAAATAAAGATTATCCCTTCATTGCACTCCTTTTCTGGATTTATTTTTCTTAACTAAACAAACTGTACAAAGTTATCACACCGCAACAAATGTTATAAAACTGTAAAATATATTTAGAATATAAAGGAATAAAACAAAAATCTCCTCTTAAGTGAATTTCTTTTCTGGGTTTGAAAAAAAAATTAAAAGTTAAAAATAATGAGTGAAAATACAAGAACTAAAGAGTAAATAATAAGATGAGCAGTTGACAGAAGCAGCCTGTCCGTGGGCCTTTGCAGAGTGACGGCTCTAACTGAAGCTCAGTATCGATCTCATTACACTGCCACTGATCAATATCAATACCCATGCTGAATCAATATTATCTATATTTGGATCGATCCGCCCACCACTACCACAAAGGTTCCCTGCTGGGATTTGTACCGGCGACTCGGTGGCAGCTCTCCTACATAAAAATATACTGATTCATTCGTTCAACCTTTATTTACAGGCTGCTCTGCTTGAGCCTCGGGACTCATCCTCCAGGCAGAAGAAGTACAAACAACAACAACAACAGTAAACAACGACAACAATGCACTGCTACAAAGAAGGCAATCATTTAAATGATCATCAAATAAAAAGAAGGTTTTTGTACTCTGTACGTAATCTTTATTCAACAAATAAAGTTTCTTATCCTGTTCATTTCCACTCGCAACCTGTTGCCTGAACATTTACACCGCGCGTCTAAAGGTAGCAACGTTTACGTGATGACGACAGCACGGCGCTGCGTGATGACGACAGCACGGCACTGCGTGATGACGACAGCACGGCACTGCGTGATGACGACAGCAGCCTGCAGCATGGAGATCTCATTGCAATGGATCCTATTTTATGTTTAGAAGACGATGTTAGAAAAGCTCAGATTAATAAGGAAACTGTTGTTTCTATGTTTTTTGATGTAGAAAAAGCATCGATATGTTGTGGAGAGAAGGGTTAATGATTAAATTACATCAGGCAGGAATAGGAGGAAACATGTTTAATTGGTTAAAGGATTTTTTATGTGACAGAACTATTCAAGTTAAAATAGGATCGCATATATCACAACAATGTAAAATAGAAAATGGAACCCCTCAAGGAAGTGTGATAAGCCCTACACTATTTTCAGTTATGATTAATGATATTTTCAAAGATTTATCTTTCAGTTATGGTAAATCACTTTTTGCTGATGATGGAGCGTTATGGAAAAGGGGAAGAAATGTGGAACATCTTATTTTAAAACTTCAGGAAGGGATAGATAAAGTAAGTAAGTGGGGAATAGAGTGGGGTTTCAGATTTTCAGTTGAAAAGACAAAAGTCATGTTTTTCACAAATAAAAAGATCGGAGTTAATAAAAAGTTAAAATTATACGGAAAAGAGTTAGAAAGGGTTGATTATTTTTGTTTTTTGGGAGTAGTGTTTGATAAGAAATTAACTTGGGGAAATCACATAGATCATATCATAGAGAAGGGTAAAAAGGTACTAAACATTATGAGGTGTTTAGCAGGGTTGACATGGAGTGCAACATTTGAGTCACTTAAACATATTTATGTGTCATTAATTCAGTCAAGAATAGATTATGGGAGTGTGGTGTATGGATCAGCGGCTGAAACTCGACTAAATAAATTAGAAGTCATCCAAGCTAGAGCACTGAGAATTTGTTAAGGGGCAGTAAAATCAACTCCAGTATGTGCTCTACAAGTAGAATCAGGAGAAATGCCATTATGCATTAGAAGACAGCAGTTAATGGCTAATTATTGGATAAATTTGAAAGGACACAATGAAACTCATCCAGTTAAGAAAGTGCTAGAAAATTGTTGGGAAAGAGGAAAGGAGCTTAAAAATAGTTTTGGGTGGATAGGGGATAATTTAGCAAGAACATTTAAAGTATATAACAAAGAATTTAATTCAACAGTATTATGGCCCTTAAGGCCTACATGGGCATGGAAATATGTTAATGTAGATAGATCATTATTAAATATTAAGAAAAGGAAAACTACAGATATTTGTCAAGAATTTTATGATCGAGTAGAGAAGAAATATAATGATTACCTGCAAATCTATACAGATGGTTCAAAAGATCCAAAAACTGAAGCAACTAGTGTACCAGTAGTGATTCCTGAATTAAAGATTAAGCTTTCGAAAAGAACATCTAATTTTCTGAGTATATATGCAGTAGAATTATGTGCTATATTATTGACTTTAGAATGGGTGGAGGATAGTAGAACAAGTAAAATTATAGTTTGCAGTGATTCATTATCAGCAATATTAAGCATTGAAAAGGGAACCTCAAGTAATCACCAACACATCTTGTATGAGATTCTGTTTGTTCATCATAGACTTTGTGAACAAAACAAAACTATAGTAATAATGTGGACTCCTGCTCATTTAGGTATTTTAGGTAATGAAAAAGCAGATAGGTTGGCTAAAGAAGCTGTTAAAAAAGAAGATATTGATATGTCAATAAAATTATCTAAGTCTGAAGGAAAAAGTATAGTTTGGAAAGGAAGCAAGAAATTATGGGAAATGAGCTGGAATAATGAGACAAAAGGGAGACATTTATACAGGATACAGAAAACAGTTGATGTTAAAAGAATCGGAGGAATAAATAGGAGGGAGGAGATAATTATAAATAGAATAAGAACCGGGCATAGTTTTTTGAATGGCACTCTTTTTAAGATGGGGAAACATCTTACTGGTTTATGTGACTGGTGTAATACCACAGAAACAATAGAACATGTTTTTATTAATTGCAGGAAATATGTGGGTCAAAGAAGATTATTGAGAATGGAAATAGGTTGTAAAAGGGAACTAAAATTTGAAAATGTGGCTTCGCAGCTGAATAGTGAAGAAGGGAAAAGAAAGATATTTCGTTTTTTAAATAATACTGGACTCAATAAGAGAATTTGAGGAAAGAAATTAACTTATAAACACCAAGAGATGGCAGTAGTGCAACATTGATGGATGCAAGCTGCCGTTAAAAACCAAAGAAGAAGAAGAAGAAGAAGAAGCATGGAGATCTCGAGTGTTCGCGCCAATCTGAGACTCAGAGATGGACAGAATCGAACCTTCTGCGTTCCGGTGGGGAACAGTCTGGGTACTCTGAGCAGCGGGATTTCCGAGCTCAACACGAACGTCTCACAACTTCTCAGCGAGTTGGTGGAGCGTGAGAGAGCGCGCGGAGGCTGTGCTCATGGTGAGGCGCGAAAACAGACCGACAGTGACGTCATCCGGGCAGCCATGTTGATTA